GGTGTCTTCTACCTAAAATGGACAATCATCCTATGAAGTTTGAATATTGCGTGCCGAATGGAACTTAAGTTATGCTCCGGAAACCAAATTGCTAACCGTCGAACGGACGGACGCCAGTGGGTATAACATAATATGCCCGAAATTCTTGTGGGCATATAATAATGCTATATTTCACAGCGAAAAGTGAAAATAGTAATTTTTTGTTAGAGGTAACGGCGCAATAACATAATATAGGTAATTTGGCGACTTTCCAGCTTTACTGGTGGAGGAAAACATCGTGTGTCCCTCTGTACATAATTGCAGGCACAAATATGAACCTGAGTAGTACCGACGTTCTACAAAGCTAGCTTTCTCACTTTAAAATCCAAAAACCTGGCATTTTTGAACGAACGTACAACGTTGAAAAGGCAATTGTTTAGAGTCAACGACCTTAATCACTAAAGTCATGGACGCTCCTGAAAATGTTGCTTTTTAATAAAAACAGATACAGACGTAGGAGTGAAAACAACAAAATTAATCGCGCTTACGTTAAAAATATGCAAATTTAATGTGAAAGGATTTCTTCTAACATAAAAATCATACGATTGGAATTTCTTACATCTATGGGCCATTTTAAACAGAAAGGTGTGAAAACGATAATTACGATATACTCAGCATTAAAATTGTTAAATTAAGAATCGCATTTTTGTGCTATTCCCAGCCCGATTTGAGTGCATAATTTCAGGCCGTTTTTTTTTTTTTTTTTTTTTTTTTTTTTTTTTTTTTTTTGAAAATCGGAGTGAGCGAATGATCTGGAACTTTGCACACAAGGTGACATCAAATGAAACATTAATCTTGAAAAATTATTTCACGTCCTGTAATCTCATATGCATAGACAATCGTGTATTCGCGTTTTGTTCTGTTTTTTATTCAGCTGAATTCATTTTAAAAAATCACTTTTTGATTTAATGTGAAAGGGTACGCTGGTCTTTTCCGCTCATTAAATTCTTCCTTTTTACTTTTATAAGACACTCTTAATATCAAACACAATATAAATTATTATAAAAAAACATTTAAGGCGATTTTTTTAGCTGACGGATCACGTTCTTTGGATAAGCTCTGGCACACATATCGCGGTTATACCAGCTGCACTTTGCGTTTCAACTGGCAATTCAAGGTTTAAACAGTTTTAACTGAGCAACAATCACGTGTGTCGTATCCAATATTGCCAGTTAGAATTTATTGCACTCATTTCATTGCACTCATAGGTCTTCTTCTCGGAGTTAATTAAGTATCACACGAAACATGGTCGTGACACAAGAAGGGCTCCTGTAGATGGTCCCTAAGTTGAAAAGCAGACACCTTATCACAACACCAGATCGGTTTGACGGAATCTATTCACGAATAGCAATAAAAAGTACAATTTCTCACTGTCTTGTATTTTGATCTGATAAAGCGGAATTCAATCGTCAAAACGAACCACCTTTGAATTATTGATTCTGAAGGACCAGATAAAAATATAGCAACGTAGAGTACGCAATAAAAAGAAAATAGAAATAAACGAATATTTAAGACTCATAAATATGATAAAAATAAGGGGGATTTAATCGCTTGCAACGTCGTGAGATAAACTTTGATCGAGAGTTAATAACTAAATTGTCGATTAACAAATCAATAAAGATTATAAGTAACATTTTCTTACCAATATTCTCAAACTAGATAGTAGAAATGTTTCGCTTTTGCAATTAAGCCAATCCTGAAAATAAACTTTAACAGTGTAACGTTACATACTTATCCAACTTATCCCATTATGGATGTGCAAACTTTCAGTCTAAAAATCAATTTTCTGTAGAAGTTTATAAAAAATCTCTTCAAAGTAAACTTGGTTCTAGTTCAAAAGGCGATATTTTATCAGCATTTTCCCAGCTCTTGACTTTTCATTTTGTCTATACATTTTGGAAGACAATGCATTTTTTGTGACAGATTGCAAAACACTATTAGGCTGTACTTGTATGTATGTATGTACTTGTATGTATGTTCAGGTGTTTGTTATATATAATTCTGAAAAAAAGTTGGATGACTCTTAAATAAGAGTCAAATTAGTCTATTTTAGTAACTTTCTTTACATTTTAAAGAACACTTAGAGTAAGCTTGCAAATGCTCTCATTGAAAAGATATTTTTTGGAAAAAAAAGATAAGCTGAAAAATGTTATCGCCTCGGTCAATATTAATTTTTTTCAGTACATATCACATCATATTCACCAGCTAAAAAGTCTATTTCTGTATAATAAATTAAGTGTATGCTCCACCATATGGTAATTTCACAGTGACAATTGGTACATGAACATACACAGACTTGCTTATATCTTATATTTGTTATAACATTAGGTCTCGTCAAGTTCGTAATAACCGAGTTTTACTATATTTATTTAACCAAATTCCTACGCGAAAATCAAACAAACATGTAAAATTCTGCAAAATACAACCGGTCTCTTTGAAATACGATAAGTCAATGAAAATTATACGCATAAATCTTGACGTGTAAGGAAATTTGTAAACTTTCAATGATTTTTCGATATAGATGCGTAATATATGGCTATTACTTCAGTTTCATGGTGAAGCTCTTTAATGATGACAACGATACCAACCATGAGTCGTTAATACAATATGACCTGTTTCAGTGTAACATTGATATTTTGTATGATTAACTTTTCACATTTAAGTTGAAAGAATAGTTGATTTGTCTGATATAATTAAAATTTACGGAAAGATTGAATTCATGATTTGAAGGTTAGTATATCTAATTTGGCATTTTTCAACATATTCATTTACACCTACTTTCGATTTTGTCGTTACTATTCAATTCGAATCAGTGTTAACAAACTTGTAATAAAGTTATTTCTGATCACTATGATGCTAGGGATAGACTTGAAATGAAGAAGAAAACATAATTTTTATCCTAAACCGAATGGCAAGTAATTAAAGATTATGTTTAAACTTGAAATAAAGATAACAATGGCGTATCAAATGAAACATTCACATGTAAAAGCATGTATATATATTATTGCGTAGTTTTCTGTTTCACGCTTCATAATTTCATGTTATATATGTGTGTAGAGAAAGTGTAATGTTTTGTTATATGTAATCAAGAGACCGGTGTAACACACAAAAAAACGATTTTTTTATATTGGTAAAATATTGTCAAACAGTGGTATAATTGTTTGTAATTAGCCATTATTTTGTTTTTTTAACGTTTCGGAAATAATTCACTATCTATCTATAATCACTTGTACCAAATGTACTTGAATATTCTTATAAACCATTAACATGACGATGTTCTGTTATGATTTAACATTCAAATTCTCTGACATTCTGACAGAGCAACCATAGTAAGTTAAATTATTAATCTATATATCAATTTATCTTTCTTCTCTGTAAAACCCAACGCGAGGACGAAGACATGGGATTTGACAGAATGGACAGACAAACTGATAGAGAGTTATTACAATTTCTTTTCGTTATCCAAATTTTTAGATCTCGGGCTGTTTTATAAATAAAGAAATTACTTACATTTATGTTGTAGTTGTAGTTTTTTCTTGTTTTGTTCTCAATCAGCTGTCAATTATTATATAACTTCTTTTCTTCTTATTATATTTATATTCTGTAATTACTGTGTCGATGTGACGTAAAACCCAAAACAAACAAACAAACAAAATATTCTGTAATTACTATACTCTGAAATTTCTTATTATACGGTATATTTTAATAATGATCATAACATAAAGCATAAAATTTTCGTTGATGATATGACGTTATATATTTTCATTAAATATTCATTTATATTAAAAAAAAAGTAGAATTTCATTGTGATGTTCAATATTCGTGTATGTAATGTTTTAGAGCGCTAAACGTATGTCGGGTGACATAAATTTTGGTCTCTTTTATAGTACTTCTCTCCACATGTATGCAATTACATGTATAACGAAATATCAACGAAGTCTAATAAAAAGTTACAATTCAAAACAAACAAAAACAGAACAGATCAGACATTTATGATTTCGTAAATAATTTTGAAAAGTATAAAAAATAGCTTTAGATATTTTCAATATAAACCTATAATAAAGTAAAATTATGACACTGTTAGACATTTCTTTCATCAAAATAAACAAGATGACCAACACTGACGACACTCATAACATGATGTCCGAAATAAGCAATTGATAAAGTCAACTGGTTCCTTTCGTAGCCGTATAAATCACCTTACATAAGAAGTATGTAAACAGAACGAGCTGACAAAATTGTCAACAAAAGTTATTTTTTTAAAGAAGAGCATGATGTATCTAAAGGTAAAATGTGGATCTAATTTAGTTTGGTATGTTTTAGTAGACATGTTTACAGTCAACATAAATTTGGAAAATTTCCAACAACGAACTTTTGAGTATTTTAATGTTTTTTCACAAGGACACCTGTCACATTTTTACATTTTACTGCTGAAATATGCTTGAATTTGTGCAAGGTAGTGCAAATGGATGATGCAGCCTATTTAAGCCGGTAAGATGATGCACACGATCATCTGTTCATGAGCTTATCATAACGTATTTAACCTTTTCAGTTTTACCGTATTCAGCCGCGTTTATTTTATTTTTTAAGATAAAGGTGGCGAAATAAAAGATAACGAATACATTTGGGGAGCAATCGTTAAGAGATATAAATATCACAGGACATAAGTCAGAGGATGACTTAAAATATTTTCATAGTAATTCGGTTTCTTCTACGGTACGTACAATGAAACAACTGAAAATTGTTGAAACGTGTTTTATTTTACGTTTTTCTATATTTTTCCTGGTAAACTAAAACCAGTGCCTCGATATTTTATATTGGCTTAATACTTTAAACAGGTTCTTCTTTATTATTTAATAAACATACATCGTCGTATTTTGAAGGGTAACGTTTGTTATCAGGATAAGCCGTAAATTTTAACAAGAAGGACGGTTAAACTAAAATGTATGAAATAATATATGACTAAATAATAGAAATATTGCTTTTCAAAATCAACAAATTTAAACAGATTGTTTTTGTTATGTACACTTACAGTAATTCATCCGCAGTAATAATGCAAAAAAAATGTATTCTGTTTTGTGTCAATACTACATTTGAAAAGAGCCGATCATCTTTTCATAATGGTTTATTCAATTTCTACCAAGTTGATACGATATATTCATTAAAATAACTTTTCAAGCTTCGTGTTTATTTCATTATTTACAGTTAGTGTAAGATGGCAGTTCAAACCATATCAAGATTAATACAAGAAAGTCAAGATGCCCTCGAGGTAAATGACTTTACACGTGCAAAGCAGGTGGCGTTTCAAGCTGTTGCGGATATCAACATCGAGAAATGTAAGTTTTTAACAGGCGTGCAGACGAATATAGACGAGCAACAATTTGGGGATTGGTATGGAGGATGTTCTTTTGTTATGCACAAGGTATTAAAAAAGGGCATGTATAGCAATATTACTCTATATTAAATGCAAATAAACATATTTCATTTCATCAAGAATGTCTTCATTCATATTTTCTTTTTTTATGCAAATACATTTCTTAAATTCTTATGACTTAGACGCTTTGTATACTTTGCCGTTTATACCGTGAAGTACCGAAGCACGCGCCACTCTTAATGGATTTCTACAGCGTAGATGGTTAACTACGTATATGCATAAAAGTTTTTTATCTGGTTTGGTTCTTATGACATATTTCCTTATTAAACTGTCACTACTTTAAAAAAAATAGCTCAAATTTAAACCATTATGAAAACTCGTATACTTGAACTACGGTTAAATATGTGGCGTAGCCTTCGATAACGATTGTAATTTTCCCGTAGTTGTTAGGTTTACTTATGAACTTGACGTCGAAAACAATTTAGGTGATTACAAATTCGTTATACAAGTACAGATGGGATAAACGGCAGAATATAGGTTTCCTTACATGAATAAAACTCTCGACTTCCGCCTCGGTCATATTTATCTCATTACTCTTCTGTATATCCCGTCAGAAACTTATCTATTATAATAAATGATAATATATTTTTGAAGATATAAAGACCAGAGCATTTACTTTATTTCCATCCTCGGTAACCCAGGCTATTTGCCGTATACATGTTCATGTATCGGTCAATACCCTGCGCAAACTGGCTGAAGATATTTCGTACTTCTGAATTATTCATAAGCATAATTCCGGTCGTTCGATTGGTTTCTTCATCAGCTGATGAAGCGCATTTGTCCATTGAAATAATACCTTTCATATCGTGCTAGCCAGCCTCTACAATATGGCGGTCCCCATTGTGTTAACGTTGACATTAGAAATTAATTTTGTTTCAAGACAAATATTTGAATATTTGTTGAAAGGTGAACATGTGTCTCAATATGCAGATGATACTAGCTTGTTTCTAGATGGCACAGAGAAATTTTTAAAAAACACAATGAAAATTTTAAAATTCTATGCTTATATGTCAGGCCTTGTTATTAATACAGAAAAAAACTAAAGTGGTTTGGTTTGGTTCTCTTAAAAATAACAATTCTGTGATCTGCCCAGAGTACAATCTTGATTGGAACAATGAAACATTTACTTTGTTAGGTATTAAGTTTTCCACATATTTAAGCCAAATAATAAGTCTTAATTATGATGCAAAAATTCAAGAATTAAAGAAACTTTTCGCAATTTGGTCTAAAAGAATTATCTCGCCTATCGAAAAAATTGTAGTGGTAAAATCTTTGGCACTTGCCAAACTAAATCATTTAATTATGAGTCCACCTAATCCACCTTTAGAAAAAAATAATTTAATTCAAAATCTTTTCTTCAAATTTCTCTGGAATGAAGGTATGGATAAAGTTAAGAGGAATATAATCACTCAAGATTATAAGTTTGGAGGTTTAAAAATGATTGACCTTCGATGTTTTATGAATAGTCTAAAGGTTACCTGGATTAGGAGACTTATACATTCAAACAATAATTATTTGAAATTGGTAGAAAGTATTTGCCCTTATATTAAGGAAATAGCAAGGTATGGAATAAGTTTTGTGAAAAGAAAATTGCAGTTAGACATCAATCCATTTTGGAAAGATGTTTTACAGAGCTATTATTCCCTATCTTTAAACTTACAGCCAAAATATGTTAATCATTATTATTCCATTCATTTGTGGGATAACCCTTATATTAAGGTTGGAAATTCCAGCATTCATCTGAATAGATGGATTGCTGGTGGAATTCTGTTTTTAGGAGATCTGGTCAATCAAGAGGGAAATAATTATACTTATGATGAATTTTGTGCAATATTAAAAGTGAGAAGTAATTTTCTAGAATATAGGAGTATCATAACAGCAGTAAAATTATATTTATTGAAATTAAATGTACAAGACTTAGCAAAAGAACAAAAATATAAGTCTACCTATCCCACAAACTGTATTGACAATTATCAAGGATATAAAAGGATGTCGTTCTATCTATAAGGTCATGCACTTATCAAAACAATATCCAAATTCTTTACAAAAATAAATGAATGAAATATCTGATAAAATTGATCCTAACTTCTTTCAAAATACATCAATACATGATACTACATTTAAGTTTACAAATGATCCAAAATAATACGGTTTCAATTTTGAATTAACATAGAATTCTTGCGGCTAATTATTTACTTAAGAAAATGAATATTATAAATGAAGATATTTGTACTTTTTGTCAAAACGAAAAAGAAACTTTGATGCATTTATTCTTTGATTGCGATATTATAAAACAGTTTTGGACACAGCTACAGCTGTATATAAAGGACAAATGTAATATTAATTTTCAATAGTTGGAGCCTTTCAGATATTTTATTTGGTAATATATATCTGGATAGTGTTACAAACCAAATAATTATAAATGCCAAATTTCATATATATTATAGCAGAATAAAACAAACAAGGCCTAGTTTAGCAAACTTTAAAAATCAAATATGTGCCATTTATAAAACTGAAAAGTATATATCAAAACAATCTTTTAAACTTGATTTGTTTGAAAAATCATGGCATAAGTATATTAATCTATTGAGTTAAGTTAATATTTTTTCTTTTGACATTCAAAATCCGCATTTCCAAATAATATTATAAGGAGACTTCCACCATCCCCTATCTCATCCATTCCAGCAAAAAAAAAGTGTTCTTAGTTTTAAATAAAGTCTTAAGTTACTCAGGTTAAACACGCATAGATATAGCACCAAACCCTTTTTTTATGTCCTTTTTATTTTTTCTTGTTTTTTTTTCTCTTCCGGTCTTTTTTATACCCCTCAAAATTTTATCCACCACAGTATATAATTTGGTAGATGGTGTTGCATAATTCAAACTGTGAAAACAATTTGTGTAGTATTACTCAGTTATTTCCTTTTTTATTCCTTGAAATTTCACATGTTCACAAATTTTGGTTCCTGACTATGCCAATTTCAAACTTTATTAATAGATAAGACATGGAGTAGAATATGTACATGTACTTTTAATTGGATGAAGTGAAATTGAATGTTCTGTTGTACAAATTGGGATAAATATGTTCATAAGGTTGAATGTATATAAATGGAAAGATAATTCCTTTTATTCCATTAAGTGGGCAACAATTAGCTGTTTATTATTTTGTAAAAAGTAGTTGGGAGTTTAAAGGTCAGATAAGACACTTATATTGGTAAAAGTCTTACAAAGCATGCTACGTTCCTCCAAATATCATATTTTTTTATTTTTGATAAATATCCACAAGTGAGGTAACATTGTAGAATGACTTTTACAATTAAGGAACTATTAAAAGCAAATTTTCCCATCTTATTATTTTTATAGGAGCCTTTTACTCATTTTTAGAATTGCAAATTACAAGATTCTCTTAGAACTCTATATAATTAATAATTCTTTGAATACACAGATACATATTAAAATTTCCATTCTTTTTAAAGGCTTGAAACTATGTAGTATTAAAAATAGTAGTATTAAAAAGAATAATGATCTATACAAACTTTTAAGTGTTTATGAACTATTAATATATTGCTCTACACAAATGTTATATACTAATACAACTTATACCTTTGCATACCATATACTAATACTGTAATTGTAAGGTACACTGGGGATGCTCCCCGACCCCTTTGTACCTATGACGGGGTTAATAAAATTACAAATTAAAAAAAAAAGTGAACATGTTTTCTTGTGAGCAGCAACAAATGCAAAGTTTAAACTTTTATCTGTATTGCAGATTGGGGAAAACTTCGAGGCAACAAGGTTTTTTTATACAGGTATTTTTACTTTTATTTAACAAAAAAGTTTTTAACCTTTCTAAATCTATATCGTCAATTTCTATTATATATAAGGTACAGAAATGATAATGCCGAGGAATTTATACGACTTTCTAATCTTCAACAGTAGTCCTACAAAAGATATCAACTAAGTAATGGAGTGATCCGGTAACAACAATGAAGTTTAAAGACCAGTTGAACAAGTTTTAACTACCGTCATCTAATCTTTTATGTCATTTCAGTGTGTCCGCAACTGATGCACATCCCGACAGTTTTCTGCTAATATGATAGCAGCAGCTGAAGAACGTTTACAATTAATTCATAGATCATTTAATATCTTATCGTTGTCCATGAGCACTTAAAATATAGTTGTGTTATTTGAGACGGGTTATTTTCATATGCTTTTTCATGTTGTCATTTTTAACTGATTAGGTTTTCTTGAAAATTTATATCCCTTATGTAAAATATTTATATAAGAATAATTTTCATTAAAATAATATTTGTCTTTAGAATCTTGCTTTTATAACAACAAACGATAGTATATCTTTTGTATTATTTTTATTTATTGTAGCGATTATTTTCGACTCGACTTGGAATATTCACAACCATAAAAAAGTATTTGACGTTCTTTGGAATTCCTTGGTTTTTTCTAGAAAAAAGTGTGATCTTTCAATGCAATACGAGGTTGGTTTATAAACAATATTTATCCATACATTGCATATTTTGCACTTATTTTTAGAAATTATCAATGTGATCCTACATGTATATCCGACAAGCTTCATGTCATAATAATAGCAGGAAAAGAAAATTGCGCCTCTGCAATAAGGGTTAAACAAATTTTGTAATACTTTAAAACTTTACCCTACAAAGGCAGACTCTATGTAGATTTTATCTTTTCTTTTATATTTATTAATTATTATGTCGCTACACGCCCGAAAGAATTAAGTATTTACTTCAATAATTGATAGGTATATAGTTAATCAGAGCCACTCTTGTCTGCATCACATCTATGTGAAGAGAATGATTCCGTGAAAATACAGCTTCACAATGATAAATACCGGATGCCTTGACCACAATAATTAATTATTGCTAAGGAAAGACAATTTATTCTTCTAACAGTATGTACAAATGTAACTTTGACTTAATGAGCAATACACTTTCTTTATAGAAGGAACTGAGATGGCTTCTTGCAAAGATAGATGACCTTGCCAAACTTGCTGAGAGCCGTGGAAAATGTAATGTCTGTGTGACTATAGATGGTGATATCAATCAAATATTCTCCTACCTGATGAAATGTGGCATAGTGGAACATGAGCTGATTAAACAACCAGGACGTAGGGCTTCCCTATGGCGCTCTGCTCGATGTTTCCTGCGAATGGTAAATATTTTTTTAGGTTTTTAAATACAAAGTGGTGTTGCGTTTAAAAAAGGTGTTCAATAGTTAAGGGACGTTATGTTATTGAATGATTGCAAATAATTGCTCTAAATTAATGCAAATATTTGTGTAAAGGTCACCTTAGAACTAAGTAATCAATGGCAAACGACGACTATGTGTCGATTGTCATTATTTAACAGAACTTTCTCCTCAGAAACTACCATGCGCAGAGTCTTAATGTTTAGAACTTATTACTGCCTAGTAGAGAAGCTATGAAATCATGTCTCTGGAATCAATATTGGATCTGTCCTGGAGTCTTTTTTTGTGTGATACTACAAAGTTTAAAGCTTCATGTTTTATATAATGTTTTGCCTTATGAAGCTCTACAAATGACAAACAACTAATGTCCCTTTGGTCAATATGGGCTCCAAATTTAGGGTGACTTTTTATCTAGACCTAAATAGCCATATCTTAAAAATCTTTCCTCCGGAACTATTATGTCAAAACTATTTGGGATGAAACAATTTTTTTGGGGTTCTCAACAAAAGATTTAATAATCATGCCCTTGGGATCAAAATGAGTTTAACCCTTTAAGTTATTTCCTTTCAAATGCTTCAAACATATTATGATGCTCTTTTTAAGCTTTGTAGATAATTTACCTATTAAGCACTCCTTATGAATAAGCATCAAATATTAACTTTATTTAAGGGAATGCATGAAGATGCAAGGAAACTTTGCAGTACAAGTAAGTACGTAAGTTCAATTCTTAGAGCAGTCTATATCTAAGTTTATTGCTTAAATCTAGTTTTTTCTCTAAAAAGCAGTTTTTATACGCCCGTTTGAAAAACGGGACGTATTATGGGAACGCCCCTGGCGGGCGGGCGGTCGGGCGGGCGGTCGGGCGGGCGGGCGGCGTCCAATTTTGTCCGGATCATATCTCCTACATGTATGGAGGGATTTTAATGAAACTTCATAGAAATGTTCACCACTATGAGGAGCAGTGTCGCGCACATGAACTAGGTCTCTAGGTCAAAGGTCAAGGTCACACTTAGAGCTCATTGAAAAACGCTTGTCCGGAGCAAAACTTCCACATGTATAGAGGGATTTCAATATTACTTGACACAAATGTTCACCATTGTGAGGCGGAGTGTCGCGCGCAAGATTCAGGTCCTTGCGGCCAAGGTCAAGGTCACACATAGAGGTCAAAGTTCAGATAAAGATATGAAGATTTGTATATGGACCATTTAGTCATCATTTATTGAGGGATTGTAACACAAATGGTCATTATCAAGACTATGGCTGTGATACATATAATTTAGGTCAATATATACAAGGTCAAGGTCACTAAAGATGATGAAATATCCAGATTTTGTACGGAGCATATCTTCTACACGCATGGAGGGATTTTAATGAAATTTCATAGAAATGTTTACCATTATGAGAAGCCATGTCACGCACATGAACTAGGTCTCTAGGTCAAAGGTCAAGGTCACACTTAGAGGTCAAAGTTTAGATAAAAATATGAAGATGTGTATAGGGACGATTTAATCATCATTTATTGAGGGATTGTAACACAAATGGTCATTATCATGACTACGGCTGTGACACATGTACTTTAGGTCAATATATGCAAGGTCAAGGTCACTAAAGATGGTGAAATATCCAGATTTTGTCTGGAGCATATCTCCTACATGTATGGAAGATTTTTTATAATACTTTATGGAAATGTTCACCACCATGATATGTATTGCTCCATGCATGATCCAGGTCTCCAGGTCAAAGGTCAAGGTCACACTTAGAGCTCATTGAAAAACGCTTGTCCGGAGCAAAACATCTACATTCATAGGGGAATTTCAATATAACTTGGCACAAATTTTCACCATTGTGAGGCTGAGTGTCGCATGCAAAATTCAGATCCCTGCGACCAAGGTCAAGGTTACATATAGAGGTCAAAGTTCAGATAAAAATTTGAAGATGTGTATAGGAACCATTAAGTCATCATTTATTGATGGATTGTAGCACAAATGGTAACTATCATGACTACAGGTGTGACACATTTAATTTAGGTTAATATTTGCAAGGTCAAGGTCACTGGAGATGATTAAATATCCAGATGTTGTCCGGAGCATATTTTCTACATGCATGGAGGAATTTTAATGTTACTTTATAGAATTGTTCACCATCATGAGACGAAGTGCCCTGCACATGAAACCAAGTCTCTAGGTCAAAGGTGAAGGTCACAGTTAGAGCTCATAGAAAAACGCTTGTCTGGAGCAAAAACTTCTACATGCCATAGAGGGATTTCAATATAATTTGGCACAAATGTTCATTATTGTGAGGCTGAGTGCCGTGCATAAAATTCAGGTCCCTGCGACCAAGGTCAAGGTCACACATCCTGTGCATATCTTCCCTACTGATTTGTTTTAAGGTTCATTTAACAACACAGTGCCAAGAATAAAAACTTGCTTGCTAGATAACACTTATCCATAATGCCCCCATCTCCATCTAAAGCTTTCGTAAACGGGCGTATTTTGTGACTATGGCATCCTTGTTTACCTATATAAGCAACCTTTTAAAACTCTTCGTTTAGCTCTATCATGTAAACCATAGTTACAATATTTCTGAGTAATTATCGTGACATCAATATAACGTTTACATTAGTTATATTCAAATATTTCTTTCCTTTTAATACTTCGTAATAAAACTATGTAACACTTAATGTTTTCTTCCTTTAAAAATCTTCTTTACTTTTCAAAAGCACTATATCCAAAATAAATCTTATCAGGCAAAAGTGTAGAATAATTATGCTGTATATCACTACATATTTTTTATTATGGACATAAATAATCTACAATTGTTTAAGAAAATAAATTACTTTTACGTGGTATGTAGTAGTAACAATGATTATGCAATAAAATTGCATTCATACCGTTGTGGGTTGTGGGTTAAAACTGCGAGTTCTGACTGTGTTTATACCAATGAAGGTACATGTGGTTCAGTGACATTTTTAATGACTTATTAATATTAATAAAAAAATATTATTTGGTATTTTTTAAGTAGAACAAGTTGGCATTTTCATTTTTTCTTTGAATTTTAGAGATTTATAATAAATCTATTTGCATGTGTTTGGTAAATATTTAATTGACATTTAAACTGAAGACAGTCACAAACAAATGTATTGATAAGATTAAAGATAGCAGATATGTTTGTATTTAAACTTTTTCACTGAAAAGATTACAGCATTTCAGCTACGGAAAAGGCAGATATAAACAATTAAGTGTTAACTGAAATAAACAAAACATAGGCTATAGTTCTAGTATTAAAATGCTGTATTGTGATTTTTTGTTTACGCTCTTAAAACTTAACAATTCTTATATGTTGACGACGAACGGCTGACATTGACCGATCCTAATAGTTCACTTGAAACTATTTGCTCAGGTGCACTATAAAGATATTTAAAAAATACGCAATTTTCCAAATTTTTT